CGGTGGCTGAAATTATTTCAAAAACAAGCCAATTCAAACGACTAACGTGCAATTTGATGCAGAAACAAACTACAGATCGGCGTATCTGAAATCTCAAATTTTCAACGGACGAACGGTCGAACTGTATTTCTATCCAGGGGAGGAAGGAGGCGTTGGAATCATCGCAGACACTTGACTCAAGCCAAGCGTGGGATTTTCGCGCAAAGCAGTGTAAGCTGTATTCACGACAAGACGAGCGTTACGTAATTAGTCCAAGAGTTCGTTTCCAGTGCTCTGTTTACTCCCACACTTCGACTAACCAAATTATAATTACAAGGCAGTTTAGCTCCCTCGTGGCTGCGGGCATGAAACTTAAGTAAATCGATAGTAATCTGTGTTTCTCGCAAACGGCGGTTCGACAGGATTAGGCATGCCGCGCCGTCGCGTGGTTAGCGAACCGTCGAACGTTGAAGCTGTGTTCGAGCATAAGAAGCTGCTTAAGCGCTAAATCTAAAAGCTCAGGAGACAAATGATACCAAGAAGGTCAACAGTAACACATGCCATAGTCCACGATGGCGTTACTGGCCTCACCTTAGAAACACTAGCGTCACGTGTTTTCAAAGACCCATTAGTACACTGACAAATTTGCAGCTTCCCACGAAACAGCGAATCATTTTTCAAGCGAATCGTTGGCTCATACAGACATTGACAGGGAAGAGTCAATAAATTGGAGCGTTTATTGCTTGTACGCTTCTGGTACTGCCATGCTTAATATATATCAATGCGGTACTCAACCAGTCGATTTCAACTTTGCCTTCACAGAGCCATTGTAGCGTCGCCCTCGAAACAAAATATTCAAAAGTTGGGAAGAATTGTGGCGGCTCGTTGCAGACACATGGTCAAGAACAACTTCTCGATACCTTCTCAAATATCTTACAAAGCTATGGGAAATAGACAGACCCAAATATGGATCTGTTGCACGTCAGCGAAACAGTCTTAAGTGTGAAGCCTAAATTTTGCATTCATTACCATTGATCTCGAACAGGTAACGGACATTATAGTCCGAGCGTAAAGCCTCCATACTCGAGTCTA